TCAAAGCAGATTCTGTACAATCCATCTGGTTTATAGCATGTTCTTCCAGGAAATGTGGCTGCACAGCCTGAAAATATTCAGAAAACTAGCCGAATCTGATCAGGACAAGATGGACATATAGGTGACAATACTTACAGCACGTGAAGTGGGTTGAACATTATTCGACACTGCAATTGCTTGTAAAATTCTTGAATGAGATACAGAATTAGAACCCATATGACCAGAATCATCGGCTTTGCGTGAAAAAAAAGGATGTTTCACTGCGGCTAACGGCTCAATACGTTCCCTTGGATCAAATGTTAACATTCGTTCCACAAGATCCTCAACAATATTTCTTAACGAAGCTGCACATAAGAGGTCTATGTAATTTTTTGTCCAAGATTTTAAAAAATGCATGCTGATCCAATATAAAACCTTGAATTTCGCGTATTCTTCAGGTGTGTGACCAATTTCCCCAAGTCGTCGACTTCCTGGCCCACCTGTGTTTACACCAATTATATCTGTCAACTTGCGCGATCCAGGAGACCGATAATGTCGATTATCTCGTAATTCCTTGCATGTAAAATTTCCATCTGAAAACTTGAATTTGAAGCTTGAGAAAAATTAGAGTACAGATGAGGCAAACAAGTATTTTCATTACCAGTACAGTATAATACAAGTGCTGGTGGATTCTTGACAAAGTTAGAAATACTTTGAATCAGATTTTTCAAGCACGGTAAAAATTTTGTTTAGAAGTAAAGTGTTATAAAAATTATTTGTTATAGTTTCTGAATACGCATCTCACTAAGTTTAAACTGAAATTTCTATGAGCGTTGTGAAAACATGAAAAAGAACTTCTGTTATGAACTGAATATGTAACAATGGAAACTGATCAAAAATTTGATTTTGGTGCAATATTGGTGAGTGATAAAATGATCACTCGTAGCCCGCAAAAAATAAAGGCCATGATAAACCAGAATAACTTAGTTCTAAAATCATTTCTTATAGATATCAAGTACCAAAACTTGGTAGCTTCACAATTTCAGTTTCGAAAATCTTTGTCATTAAATTATCACGTGCTTGCGCTTAAACGTATTACGGTTGCAAAGTGTTAATCACATGCCTTCGTAGCGACAGCGTTGGTATAAAAGAGGAGGGATTTTATTATGGAGAATTCGATATTTCTGTGTAGTTATTTTAAAAAGTCAGTTAATCACGAGCACCTGACTAAGTGCATTGAAAGGCTTAACTTGCTAGCGTGAATCAGCAGGATTCTGAAAAGCATCACATCCAGATGAACAGTTGTACAAAGACAATGGAAAAACTCTGATGATGGAAATAGAAAGAGGATTTCTGCAAGGTCTTTGTCTTGTCATGAACCAGTTGAGCCGTCGGTTTAATATGAGATAGCCAAAGGTGGCGATTCCCAGCGATCACGAAATTAATATAACAAATCGCCCTATTGTTTGTGTATAATCCATTCTTGGAAGGCATTCACGGGTATAAATATATTGAAATAGTGGACGACAAGAGTAGTGCACCAACCCGTCAAAGCTAGCATAAAGTCCGTGCAGAGATTTTAGTGAGAATCGAGCGGGTAGCCAAAACTGCATTAATAATGGCAAGAACTTTAGAAAAAAATATGCTTGGAGCTGAGAAAAGTATGTACCACTGGTGCAGTTAACGAGTAAGGACGGTGGACCATCTAGCAACGCAGTGCGAGAAAATGTTATATCATGACTATACTAAAAGATAATGAAGTCCCGCGATGTATCCATTTATGATTCTGCAAAAAACATGGTCTTGAAACGTATTCACGCATGCGGAGCCATTGTGTTCAGGAAATCGTCTTCAATAAAGATGTGAAAATGAGAGTTGATACGCGAGTAACAACTGCAATAAAAATGAGGGCAGACTAATCTGACATCCTGGTGTACGACAGGAAGCGACAGAGAAGAACTCGTGATATAGTTGGTATCACTGGTCAGGACAGGTTGATGGCGGTAGAAACCGAAAAAAAACGAAAGTATGACTTAATCTGCAGGGATACTGAGATCAAGTAAATGGTTACCGTTGTGAGAGAAATCACTAGGGGAATGATATCAGCTAAATTTTTTTCGATAAAATTTTGCATCAGTGTGACCCTCTAATGAACAGATGTCATCACTATAAAAGCTACTCAAATTTCTTGTTATGTTTAGTAAATTTTGAAAGATGCAAAATAATTCATAAAATGAAACAAGCAAAGACGAAAGATCTTCAAATACTCAGTAAAAGTACTATTACTGCTACTAAACTACATAAGAACACTTGCAGTTGGAAAATATTTACATGACTTATCAACTGCAATGAAAAAAGATTACCTAAAACTTCCCCAAACCTACGTTAGTCATATATGAAATCCATTCATATGACATTCTTGATAAGACAGAAAAACTTTCTTTTCAAAATTTCAGAACTTTGTCATACTAACACTCGAGGTTTGGCTTGTAAAACCAAGAATACTTCTAATCTCATCCGTGAAACACTTAAACAATATGTATCGAATCTACCAATAAAAAACAGTATTTATCATCGAGAGCTTATCTTATTATTACCTTATTTACCGTTTAGCTCCATACATGTTATTCAGTTCCCAAGTCCTGTTTCATAGAATGTGCAAAAGAACTGACTCTTTTTCAGAATAGATATAATACATGGGAATAACATTTAGTTTAATACTTGAACATTACACCAGCAGCAAAAAGTCTGAAACCGCATGAACAAGAACAGCAAAAGAACACCAAATACGTGACACATCATTCGAAAAAATTACCTCAGAAAATGAAGATGAAGACCAATATAAACTCAAATTAACTACATGATTATTTTGAAATATAGTAGCCAAGTACTGCTGACCCTGTCACAACAAACACAATATAATACAAAGCGAAAAATCGCCATATTTGTTAACATGACTGATCGATATCATACCCACTGTGATTTAATTACTGCTATATCGTACTCCGCGCTTGCCTATAATTATTGAAAATGATACATGATGAAAAAATTTACCCGTATGTTTTCATTTCCTCTATTCTGAGAATTTTTCCTCATTGCCCCAACTTTATAAAAACGGAAAAAAATATTAAAACATAAGAATGATGGAAGTATTACACAATCCCAACTTACAAACCGAAAAAATCAAAAAACCCGCGATCTAATTTGTAAAATGATTATGTTTTTGGCTGAAGACAATATGAACATAAATAGCAAAAAGTTTAGTGCTTCAAACAACTCAAATATATGGTATAAGAAAACAGATCTTATCCACAACACATTTCAAATTTTAAACTCTTACTTCATTAAAAGCATATCTCAGTTTGGTTACAAGCTTTAGTTGATAATGCGCAAGCGCAAGTTTGATCGCAGCAGCACAATTCAGTACAAATCCGTCTATCTCCTTCCTATTCGTATATCTTAACAAATGTACATGAGGGTCAACTCTTCGTGCAGTTTTAAGTATTGCCTAAAGATGAAGAATCGATAAATACAATTCCACTCACTCATAAAGATAACCCCTTCAATTGTTAATCTTCATTTATAGAAAATACATATAAAAAGTAATATGCATTTTGTAAGCCGAATATTCACTACGAAATTTAAATTTACTGCTCAATTTAAAGTTTCGAAAGCTTTTATTTTATGCTTTTATTACTGATTAATGTACTTCTTACTATGCAAATAATCAACAATCAATTCTTAAAGAGCAGAGATATATCGCTCAAACCATGTATGTGTATTGATGTTTTGGAAACCTATATTAGAGAATGGATGTAATATTTTTTTTGTCTTTCATCTTCCGTAACTAATTTCAAAATCAAACACGTATACAGATGCATTTCAATACTAGCCTAATGTAGATCAACTTGGTAAGAACGAAAAACATCTTGATTTGGATGCTGCAGCAACATGCTTTTACACACTTATGCTGCTTTTCCATGAAGACGTAAAAAAAAATCCTATGAAAGAAATTAATGTCATTGTGTTTTGGGACAGCCTGATTTGCAAATTCACAAGGTCCAAATTCTTTTCATTCTACTTAAAATCTCATTTTGGTAGGCTCAAGATTATCATACCTAACCAACCTCGTGGTTGCATGAAAGTAGCTTAATCGATGTCCGTGATCCACCACAGCGAATCACCACTGCACTGTGAAGAGGGTCACTCTGTTTCATTATTTCAAGACTTTACATT